ATGTTGGCCATTGCGGCCACTGATTCATTCAACTGTTCAGCGAAGATACTCCACGTAACTACACACAAAGTTTACTTTCTATGTCAATAGGCTAGTTTTTGAGCGAAATATCGCGGACCGCTTGAATCAGCAAAGAAGCGATTTTTTCGAGCAAAAACTGAAACGCACCATGTAAACCGAATCCATCCGGAGCGCTTGTCGTTTCGGCGTTTTTACCGAAGAACCAGCCACACGTGGAACCTATTTACACGCCTGAGTCCTTTACCGAGTGAAACGTGCAATAGCAGCTGCCGTCAAAAGATCATCGTTGTTGCTGTAATCGTGAAACGGTTTTAAACTGCAAATTATTCTGCATGGCGTTTATATCTCGACGTCTGAAATTAAATAAATGCCAACAGTGCTATTCTTGGTCAAGACATTGACATGAGGTAAACGCAGGGTTAGCGGACACTCATAATGAATGAGGTTTTCTGACAGAAATGAGTGAAACACCGTAAACTACCGTAAGTTTCTACCATATGTATACGTCAAGCCAGTAGAATTGCAGCTGTTTGTTTACGATGGTGAGGCATGTGCTTTTGGTTAGTCTCGCAACTGACGCGTCGTTTTGACCAGTTCAGTCCTTAGCAAAATATACGTAAGGCGAAGCGCGTCGGAACTCGAAGAACTCGAATTTAAATAGCAAATTCTTCAAAGGCTAATTTACGCAAACAAAGACGGTTAGTAAAAAACATTGGCATCAAGATTGCTATGCCTAAAATTTACGGTTTGGAGTATATATTCAGTTTCGTGTACAAAGACATTTTCTCCTCTAGTTTGCTTTATGGCACGCCACTACGAGGATAAAATGTAAAAGGTATGCGCCTCACGAACTCTTTCCAGCACCATTTTAAGTCTATCGAACTTATGCCACGAGAAAGTTCTGTAAGCAACTTGAACGGCACCGCGAAAACGATTTGTCGTGTCGTCATATTTGTCGAACTTTCCCAACGAAGACCTGATACTCTTGACAAGCATATAAATATGATCGTGTCGATGCAAAAGAAAAACACAGATGTCTATCTATTTTAATGCCTCTCTTGGTGACAAGGCAGACAGAGCAATTTTATACCGGAATGGAGTAAATATATGTGTGCTTCATGAGATCGTCCTTTGGAGCCGTTTGCCAAGAAGCACGTCTGTGGTTCGTAAGGTCACGCGCCTTCGCACTCTTCAACAGTTTGCTATAAGGCGTCAGTAGTGCATCGTGGAAGAAACATTTTCTCTCTTAACACACATGTTCCTCAAATACGTTCATCCATACTGCTTACTGTGGACGTTTTGCCGTGTTTCGTTTCAACAGTGGTTTGTCTAACAGACGAACCTCTGACCTGATTTTCGCAGTCTCCGCATCTATTGTTGACAGCTGTGTCCAGAAGAGAATAGTACCACGCCTTGTGGTTCAGTTATTTTTCGAATTCATACATTGTGTTCATACTTACATTACGTAGTTAGCTGCCAGGTCAAGGCGCATTGCAGCTCTGAGAGGTGCTCATCACACAACATCGCTGCCATTTGCTAATGCAGTTGAGAACCACGCCAGAAATGCTGTTTCCTGTAGTTTCCAAATTGACGATTTGCCATCCGTTTCCGGCTGGTTGCTGATTGCATCGAAGTAATGTAGACGAATTCGTTGTTTTTTCGGATTCAAACTCAGCACCTCCGCATTTCGAA